TCTCTCTCTCTCTCTCTCTCTCTCTCTCTCTCTCTCTCTCTCTCTCTCTCTCTATCCTCTCTCTCTCTCTTCTCTCTCTCTCTCTTCTCTCTCTCTCTCTCTCTCTCTCTTTCTCTCTCACTCGCGAAGCTCCTTTGAAATGCTGAGAGCTTTGGATTTTAAGGCACACATTGGGCGTCAAAACTTGATGAAAATGTAATATTGAAAGCATGCGCAAATATCGAGCTGAGATATTTATAGCTGCAGCCTGCAGCTGGCCGGAGGCTGGTGGCCACCGCCTCCCGCACGACAGCACGTCTTCGGCCGCCTCCCGCACGACAGCATGTCCTCCGTCGCCTCCGGCACCACAGCATGTCTTCTGTCGCCTCCCGCACCACAGCATGTTCTCCGCCGCCTCCCGCACCACAGCATGTCTGCCGTCGCCTCCCGCAGTACAGCACGCCTGCCGCCGCCTCCCGCAGTACAGCATGTCCTCCGCCGCCTCCCGCAGTACAGCACGTCTGCCGCCTCCTCCCGCACTACAGCATGTCCTTCGCCGCCTCCCGCACTACAGCATGTTTTCCGCCGCCTCCCGCACTACGGCATGTCCTCCGCCGCCTCCCGCACTACAGCATGTCCTCCGCCGCCTTCCGCACTTTAACACGCTTGCCCCCGGCTCACGAGCGCTCCTCGCCATAAGATTGAAACCCGCCTGTGGCACGCTTGTCTTCGCCTAAAGCGCATCAGATGGGAGGATTGGCCAGTGGCGGTTTTTCGTAATAGAAAACGGCTCGTGCGTTGCGAACCACACAAACAACGACATTAGAAGCGAGTGAGCGTATTGGCCCAAAACACGGTCGATGGCAAAGATGGCATTGTGGTGTTAGCAAAAGTTTCGTGGATGGGAAAGCTACAGGTGACAAAGCTCACATATTGGGTTTAAGTTCACGCTCACTCTCATTCGATTTTCCAAACAGCTGGTTCCCAATACCGTTGAAGCACTGCAGAAACACAGATTCGCTTATCAGCCTGGTGCAGACCAGCTAATCTTATGTCGTACCGGTTTTCAATTGAATCTGGGACACTGCGGCAATCCGGATGACTTCGAGTTATTGGCGGATGTTATTAGGAGATGTTTTCGCCGTAAATGTGTCAATAACTAGATCTAGATTAAGAAAACATTGCTATTCGTTCTTCCCTGCCCCATTGGTGTCATGCTCAGTCAAGGGCTGTGGTACTCCTTAACCCAGCCTGATGGTGGCGTGTTGCTGTCGTAAGCAACGTTTATATTTAGAAGGATTTAAACTGTACAAGACAAAGAAACTGAGCATTGCTTTCCGCTAAGGATCGCATGAATATATCATGCTAACTACGTGAAGTGGGATACACTCAGATCCACACGCATTGCATTTGGGCTTTGAGGAACCTATTTGAACTGGTATAGCGACTACTCAATTGCGATTACACAGTTGCGACCACACCTGACTGCTTCTAATTTCGCTTCCCCTCCGTCTCCCCTTCACACCGCGCTCTCTGGTCTCGCTCCACTTCTTCGCCCTCTCACCCCTGCTCGTCTCCCGTCCGGACATCCTCTGGACAGCCCCCTGACTCATCCGTCCCAGCTCGGTCGGCGTGACTCACCGTCACACTTGTATCCGTTGTCGTTGAGCACGAAGCCCGGCCGGCAGCCGCACTCGTACGTGCCGTCGTGCAGGTCGTAGCAGGTCTGGTCGCACGCGCTTCCGCGAGAGCAGCTCCCTGCGCGCAGGATACGGTGTTAGTCACCTCCGCACAGGAGAGCGGTGTCAGTCACCTCCGCACAGGAGAACGGTGTCAGTCGCCTCCGCACAGGAGAACGGTGTCAGTCGCCTCCGCACAGGAGAACGGTGTCAGTCGCCTCCGCACAGGAGAACGGTGTCAGTCGCCTCCGTGCAGGACGGTGTCAGTCGCCTCCGCGGAGGACGGTGTCAGTCGCCTCCGCACAGGGGGACGGTGTCAGTCGTCTCCGTGCAGGAGGACGGTGTCAGTCGCCTCCGCGCGGGATACGGTGTCAGTCACCTTCGCGGAGGACGGTGTCAGTCGCCTCCGTGCAGGGGGACGGCGTCAGTCGACTCCGTGCAGGAGAACGGTGTCAGTCGTCTCCGTGCAGGAGGACGGTGTCAGTCGCCTCCGCGCGGGATACGGCGTCAGTCACCTCCGCGGAGGACGGTGTCAGTCGCCTCCGCGGAGGACGGTGTCAGTCGCCTCTGCGCGGGATACGGTGTCAGTCACCTCCGCGGAGGGCGGTGTCAGTCGCCTCCGTGCAGGAAGACGGTGTCAGTCACCTCCGCGGAGGACGGTGTCAGTCACCTCCGCGGAGGACGGTGTCAGTCACCTCCGCGGAGGACGGTGTCAGTCGCCTCTGCGCGGGATACGGTGTCAGTCACCTCCGCGGAGGGCGGTGTCAGTCGCCTCCGCGGAGGACGGTGTCAGTCGACTCCGTGAGCCCGCTGACTCTACTGACAGGATGAGAACATGTTCGTTGGAGGGAGATAGCGGGCAAATTAGTCCATTTTAGGATGGCATTAAGTAGGTCAACAGGGCCAACTTGAATTGGTTTGCAGCATTCCTTCGGAAATTCTCAACACCAGTGCGTTCATCGAACGAGCAACTCAATTAAGTCTACTGAAGACGAACAAACGTCATTTGAGCCAAGAACACGGGAACGCGCTGGCCATTGGGAGTTACCTCACCTCTCCCGTGTGCGCACACTGAGAAGTGAAAGCATGTGAGATTCGCTCTGAGTGAAGACATGAATACGTAGCCAACATAGTCCACTTGGCGATGAAGCACTTGTGAATCGCAATTTGCCAGAACCTACACTTTTGTCTTCATAATAAAATGCGCTTCCCGACAGACAGAACCGCGTCCCGGGGAAACTGAGAAAACAATTGAAATATTAAAAGAGACTTGTTAGAGAGTGGGCACATGTAGAACGAGCAAGGAGCGAGCCAGTATGATAAAAATACACGTTGAGACAACTGTATCAAGCGCAGTTGATAAGTCAGATCGCCCCTATTCAAACTGTTCCAAAGGTGCCAAATGAAGAAATTCACAATTTACTCCGGTTTGAAATTTAGCCTTGGCTGAGAGATCACAAATGACATGAACATATGTCTCGCAGAATGTGGCATGCAATGTCGCTTTCCTTCTCCGAAAATGTAATGTTTAACAAACCAGTCTAAAAAAAAATAATCAATTAACTTTATCGTCAAACCCTTCCTTTCAAATACTTGCAGTCCATAACATCATTATCTTTAATCATTCGCAGTCGCTTATAGCTGTTATTCAACGGTTTCTGGAATGGTGTTCCGGGAGTAAACCATTCAAGGTCTTACATTTTTCTCATCCCACAGCAATCTGCTTTCAAATTTAATGCCTTTCCCAATCTGGTCTGTTTTTCTAGCGCCCAGGAAAGCCCAGAGGCAAATAACTTACTAAGCAAGCGCAGCACCGGAATCCGATTACATGTACGATAACATGGTTCCCTGAAGTTGTTGAGCATAACGAGTTCACTGGCTCAGCTCCCGCGCCGGCTTAAGCCGGCCGACCTTCGCCTCACTGGTTCCGAGTACGAAATTGGCCCCTGCTCCGGAAAACCGCCTAGAGTTGGCAGTTTGGTGGTGACGACTGCAGGCTGGCTGCATGACACCACCGTCACTCGTCTTGGTTGGGGTTATGGCCGTGTCAACGGCACCATGGTGCGTGTGAACTCCTCCATTGCGACTCGAAGGACGCAATGCAGACATCGCTGCGCTCTCATCGACCGTATCGGGACAGCAATGAGGACACTGACCGGGTGGTCCCAAAGTTTTACGATAATTGCCAGGCTATTTGTCGGAGTCTTTATCTGTAGGACCACCGACGCGGCCATGTGTCAGGATGTCTGCCGCCTTGACGCTGGTGAAATATGGATAGCTGGGGCCGTGACTCAGGATCTGGAGACTGCGATGCCTGGACTCTAGCCATTTCACCACGTACAGCCCAAGATCCGGGGCAGGATTAGCCCCAAAGCATTCTGATAAGGAGTGAGACACTTTTGAGCATCTTGAAAATGTGCGTACTTGATACGTTAAGATCGATAAAGAGTGAACTCTGGCGGGAAACCTAAGACTACGCGTGCCCTCTGCCAGAAACGTATTGATGGTCGAGCTTGGAAGCAGCTGCAGTTCCTTTTAAGTGTAGGGACAACTGCACACCGTGAGGTTATCATGGACACTGCTGACCCTGTGACAGTCCGGGGTAGCCGCAAGCCATGGAATGGCTTGAAAACACTAACACTTTCTTATGGGAACTGCTGATATCCGCAAATTCCGGGGTTGTCATGCAAGACTGCAGATCCAGTGGCGGGGGTGGGCGGGCTGTTGCAGGGATTTTGGGGCAGCCTGCGGCAGGCTGCAGGCCTGGCGCGGGCCGGCGGTGTCTCCCCCTCGGCAGACGTGAAGGCGTGGGACGCTGCTTGCCGCTCTCACGGCTCCCTTTGCGAACAGTGGCGGCGGCGTGTATCGATCGGAGGGGCGGCACGTGCCGTCAACACCGCGCGGTGAGCAGCGCTGGCTAGGGCTGGCGCCAGACCCCTGCCGTTCCGGCACACGGGCACGGCCCGGCCAGGGCAGCAGAGCCTGGTCGGGCCGCAAATGTATGCCCGACGGATGCAGGCCGGCTGATCACAGTACGGTCACACCATCTCGTGACATGACAGCCTCATCATCACACCATCTCGTGACATGCAACCTCATCATCACACCATCTCGTGACATGACAGCCTCATCATCACACCATCTCGTGACATGACAACCTCAGCATCCCACCATCTCGTGACATGACAACCTCAGCAACACACCATCTCGTGACATGACAGCCTCATCATCACACCATCTCGTGACATGACAGCCTCATCATCACACCATCCCGTGACATGACAACCTCATCATCACACCATCTCGTGACATGACAGCCTCATCATCACACCATCTCGCGACATGACAGCCTCAGCATCCCACTATCTCGTGACATGGCAACCTCATTATCCCACTATCTCGTGACATGACAACCTCATCATCACGCTATCTCGTGACATGGCAACCTCATTATCACACCATCTCGTGAGATGACAGCCTCATCATCACACCATCTCGTGACATGACAGCCTCAGCATCACACCATCTCGTGACATGACAACCTCAGCATCCCACTATCTCGTGACATGGCAACCTCATTATCACACCATCTCGTGACATGACAACCTCATCATCACGCCATCTCGTGACCTGACAGCCTCATCATCACACAATTTCGTGACATGACAACTTCACGCAGTTCCGAACGCTGTGCTGTAATATCCATTCCATGGCAAAGGACACGATTTATTACCTTCTTAAGCCGAGAGCTACTGGGACACTTTCCACTATACGACTCACTGGGTTTTATTTTCATGGTCCGTGCAGCTAACTTCGCAGCCAATCAATCCAAGACGCTGACGCAAAGGCCGGAATTGGCAACCCGACATTTTTGTAGAGCAAAAACAAATCTATCATCCTGAAGATAATCGGTAAGATCAAGTTCCAGGTCAAGAAAAAGAGCCTCTTTCATAGGCGAGCTGTATAACCAATAAACCCCTGTTTCAGGATCTTATCTTTATCACGAAAGGTGGAGTACCTCTAATTTTATATCGCATGGCCCTTATTACATGCTGCACTGCTGAGAAACACAATTTCTCTTTCTACCGGCGCAAATTATGGCATGCGTGACTGCACTGTGAAACATCGCATTTCCCTGTACTTCTGCATGGACCTTTAAATGCTTGCTAACGAAAAAAGAAACATCTAAGAGGTTTCAATCAGATATTTTTTTACAAATCACATAATATAGCAATTTGAAATTTCATCCATAGGGTAAAATCCAAAAGTAGAAAAAGCGTAGCGTGGAAAATCCAAGCGTAGAAAATGAATCTTTGAGGTAAGCTAGTAAGCCCTTTATTCTATAAATGACTTAAGGTCAAGTCAGGTCACTTCAGGTAACGAGGGCGTGATAAATGTTTGACAAGGAAAATAACGCAATATGTGCTCACACATAATAGTTGTCAAAGGTTTTGGAAGTTGACTGCTGACGACCACCGATGACTCGCTTCTTACATACCTACTTGCAAACTGGAAACACATGCCGTACGCATCAATATGATGAAGACCGTCAAGTAACCTGCACCGAGCCCACCGGTGACCCAGCATAACTTAGGCCAGCCGTGGTGAAAAGTGATCTGAGTCTCTACCTGCACGCACATGGACTCCTCTTTCCATACTGCTCTGATAATATTGTATAACAGGAAGATAACAGCAGACGGTAAAATAAATTAAATGACTCACACTGGGGGCTTACTTGGAGGCGCTGCCTGTTTCAGCACTCCAGCTCAAATTGCTTTGGTATCTTTTTAAAATGTTGAGCGGAGCGAGCAAAAAGACCCAGAGACTCGCGGTTGAAATGTAGTGTTGCACTTAGTCACAACTACTTTCATACAGAAATGCTTCCAGGCCGCGCGCACGATGGCCGGTATCACGGAGTGAGCCGACTCTGCGGACGCTTCTCTGTGAACGTGCCAGCGGCGTAATTTCGCAAAATAAGTTGGGGGAGGGTAGCAGGGAAATGTCGGGAGCTGGGGAGGTAGCAGAGAAACTAATAAACTTGATCGCAAATGCACAAAAAGCAGTTACACCCCGAGTCGAGCAGCGTTAGGGAGCTGGATTCGTGCGGCTGAATAAGAGACCCGCCTTATTCTGCACGCTCTTTTCCTGTGGTTATTACTCTTAAGCTGCAAATGCTTCATGCAAATCCACACAGAATTGATGTCTTCCCTGAATTCAGCTGCAAAAAGGACTTTAAGTTAAATTACAAGTGCTACATATTTATTTACCTTATCTTTTAAAAAAATTATATATTTCCCGCGTCAATCAGTCTCCTAAAAGACGAACTCTACCTTGGTTGCAACTGCTTCACCCGTAGCCGATATGTATCTACCAGCTGCGGCCCTGACAGGGCAGCAATCCAAATGGATTTAATTGCAGAATGCACGCATCCGGACCGACAGGCTGATCTAAATTGGGAGTGGTAATGCTCTGATTCAGGGAGCATTGCTGGATAAGTATACACCTATAAATTACTATAAGCTCTGTAGCGGCTTCTGCATTACAGTGGGGTGTGGTTTTAATCTAAACGCAGCATAAGACGGGACGGAACATTTGGTGGTCTCAACGAGCAAATACAAGTCTCGCCTTCGCACTCTTTTTTGCCGCAGTCAAAACCTCCCCCGCCGCAAGTGCGCGAGCCTTGAGTGTATGTACTTCATCGATTCCATTATCAACTATCTGGTAGGGGTACGATGCAATCATGACGGCATCGGAATGGCGTTACGGCATCGTGAGTTGGTTAGAAAAGAGGCATAGTGGGATAATACTGCGACAACAGTGGGTAGCAGAATGTTATGCTTTCGTAAACTGAGCAAAACAGAGGATTAGTAACTACAGTTCAGTAGTTGATAACATAGCATTTCGACATTACGGTTACATGTTTTATCTTCGTTTTGAATTGGTTGTGTTTTCAACACTATGTTAAGATAGCAGCTTATTTCGCCATTCTAAAAACTTGAAGTACTGATTACCACCCATTACACCACCGATAACATAAAATGCCCGTCTACGATCATGTACAGCTCGCGTGAAATAAGTTAACCTGGCTGGTCAAAATTTACCTAGCGACTTTGATAGCTCGGCAGCCTCCACGCGAGCCGCCGGCACTGCGCAGAGGCCGCTCCGGCGCCAGTGCAGAGCTGAGTGGGTGCAGCCGCACAAAGGTATATGCACTCCTTGCAGTTGTTAATTCTCAGAGCTGTCATAAATCTGCTTGCTGCGGTGCCCAGAATTCTCGTTTTTCAGTGAGATCGACATGATGCAATTGCTTGCAAGCCATTCGTAACGGCACTGAATGTATGCCCTTCAACATATTTTAATCGCAGGGTTGTACCTAGATAGCGCTATATGTGTCTGACTACGCCGGGCGCTGCAGCGATGTTGGAACATAGAGAAGGTGTGTTGTCTATTTCAGTATAATCGAATTCAACTTGGCGAGAACCGTGCTGTATGTTCGTCTAGCTTGGCGAGAACTGTGCTGTATGTTCGTCCAGCTTGGCGAGAACTGCGCTGTATGTTCGTCCAGCCTGCAAGCTTTCCCAATTGGTATGCTAAGTATTACGCATCGACACAAAATCATGAAGCAGCCTAACAAAATTGCAATTTCTTGGGCAGGACACCGATGATGTAGTGGTTAAGCTATACCTCTGGGAAACTGGAGGTACGGGATCGATTCCACGCGGTGTCCGCTCGTCCAGCCAGGGTAAGGAGCGGGCGACACCGTGTAGCCTCAGCAGCTCAGTGGGTCGTTAATCCCTACAGACGAGCTTGGTAACGGCACGAGTCTCGATTTAATAACACGCGGTCAAAACGTTTACCCCATGCATGACGAGGGCACTTATATAATGTAAGAAGTGATCGTAATAAAAGCTGATATCAATAGTCAAAAATACCAATTTACTTACCAGCTTACCACGAATTACTATACTCACTTACGTAATGTTATAAATTATCGCAACAAAACCGCAAGCCGGCATCCACAGTCTTACATACCTACTTCAACCCAAGAATCTTCCAGCGCATAAGCAAAATGACGTTATGA